CGGCCGGCGAGAGGTGGTCAGTTGTGTACTGGCTTCGCTCGACATAGTCGGTGGTGGCCTGGAGTAGGCACCTGGCGCTCCTGGGGGATAGAGCACGAAATCCTTTCCCAATCATATCAGCGTTCCGGGCCAGCCGAATGATTCGGAAGGGAGATGAGGCGTTTCTCGTGGTAGTGACAGCTATCAAGGAGTCTGAGGTGAGGTTGGATGAGACGCCTGTGGTTCGTGAATTCCCCGACGTCTTTCTGGAGGATTTGCCAGGGTTACCACCGGAGAGAGAGGTGGACTTCTGTATTGATGTGATTCCAGGTACGGAACCGGTATCTAAGACTCCGTACCGGATGGCTCCAACGGAGATGGCGGAATTGAAGAAGCAGTTGAATGAGTTGATGGAGAAGGGATTCATTCAGCCGAGTGTTTCGCCTTGGGGAGCGCCCGTGCTATTCGTCAAGAAGAAGGACAGTAGCATGCGATTGTGCATTGACTATCGAGGACTTAATTAGGTAACCTTAAGAATCGGTATCCATTGCCGAGGATTGATGAGTTACTTGATCAGTTGCAGGGTGCACAGTGGTTCTCGAAGATAGATTTGCGCTCGGGATACCATCAGATTTGTGTGAAGGCCGGGGATGTGCAGAAGACACTTTCCGTACACGGTATGGACATTTTGAGTTCGTCGTTATGCCTTTTGGACTGACGAACGCTCCTGCGGTATTTATGCAGTTGATGAACCGTGTATTTATGGAATACCTCGATGAGTTTGTCATCATCTTCATTGATGACATATTGATCTACTCACCGGATCGACGCAGCCATGAGAAACACTTGCGTATGGTATTGCAGCGCTTGAGGGAGCAGAAGTTGTATGCAAAGTTCAGCAAGTGTGCTTTCTGGTTGCAGGAAGTTGGATTTCTGAGCCATGTGATTTCGGCTCAGGGTGTGGAAGACGCCTACCAATGCCATGGAGATCCGCAGTTTCTTGGGACTGGCAGGGTACTACAGGAGATTTGTCGAGGGTTTCGCCAAGTTGGCAAAACCAATGACCAAGTTGACGGGGAAGAATATGCAGTTTGATTGGACAACAGAGTGTGAAGCGAGCTTTGCAGAGCTCAAGAGACGACTCACGACCGCACCCATACTGGCATTACCACGGCCAGGTTTTCTCTATGAGGTTTATACCGATGCGTCGAGACTAGGCTTGGGTTGCATATTGATGCAGGAAGGACATGTGATTGCCTACGCATCCCGACAGCTGAGGAAACATGAGGAGAATTATCCGACGCACGATTTGGAGCTGGCAACAGTGGTACATGCGTTGAAGATTTGGAGATCCTATCTATATGGAGAGAAGGTTAAGCTCAACACCGACCACAAGAGCTTAACCTATGTGATATCGCAGAAGGATCTGAATCTTCGACAGCGTAGATGGATTGAGTTAATAGCTGATTATGACTTGGAGATTGCATATCATCCGGGCAAGGCGAACGTGGTCGCAGATGCCTTGAGCCGGAAGAAGATCCTATCAGCTATTCAAGTACTCTCATCTTCGCAGGAGAACATAGCTGAATTATCCGCTATGTTAGGACATATGGAGATTGAGGAGGATCATGATTTGAGCTCGAGGAGACGTGTGATAGCGGGACAGAGTCATGATCCGGACTTGCAGAAGATTATTGATGAGATTAGCAGATATGGTGAGAAGGGGAATCAGATGGATGAGGAGCATGCCTTAAGGCTCCATCAGCGATTTTGTGTACCGGCAGATCTTGAGCTGAGACAGGACATCTTGCGAGAGGCTCATCAGTCTCGATTGGCTATACATCCGGGAGCCAGCAAGATGTATCAGGGTTTGAGACAGTGGTATACATGGCCAGGCATCAAGAGAGATGTCGCAGACTTTGTACCCCATTGCTTGGTCTGTCAGCAGGTGAAAGCGGAGCGACAGATGTCCAGTGGGAAGTTACAGCCGTTGGAGATTCCGGAATGGAAGTGGCACTCGATTGCGATGGATTTTATTGTTGGATTACCGACGACCCCAGCGAAGAAGAATGCTATTTGGGTGGTCGTCGATCGATTGACGAAGTCCGCACATTTCATTCCGATCCGACAGGAGTATACAGTGGAAAAGCTGGCACAGATATACATCGATGAGATTGTTCGTTTGCATGGGGTTCCGAGTGAGATCATTTCAGATCGTGATCCTCGGTTTACCGCGCGACTATGGGGCGCCATTCAGAGCGCGATGGGGACTCAGCTGAGGATGAGTACTGCTTAACATCCTCAGACAGACGGACAATCGGAGCGAACCATCCAGACGCTCGAGGATATGTTGAGAGCGTGCATTCTGGAATGGGGAGTTCCTTGGGATACGTACCTGACGTTGTGCGAGTTTGCGTACAACAACAGCTACCACGCCAGCATAGGTATGCCACCTTACGAGGCCTTATACAGGCGGCCTTGTAAGACACCTTTGTGTTGGACGGAGATCGGAGAGCGACATATCTTTGGACCTGAGATTGTGGAAGAGACGACAGAGGTTATCCGCAAGATCAAGGTCAATCTGAAGGTCGCACAGGATCGTCAGAAGTCTTATGCGGACCAGAGAAGAAGAGACTTTACAGTAGAGGTGGGCGATTTTGTATTCCTCCGAGTACAGGCGATTAGAGGGCATACGCGGTTTGGAAAGACGGGGAAGCTCAAGCCGCGTTACATTGGGTCGTATCCTGTGATTGCAAAGGTCGGGGTTGTAGCATACCGACTGGACTTACCTCCAGAGCTCGGTCGCATCCACGATGTATTCCATGTATCTATGTTGCGAAAGTACATCGCGGATCCTTCGCATATATTGCAGCCACAGGAGATTGAGCTTACCAGTGATCAGAATCCGCGAGATCAACCACTTCAGATCGTCGATCGAAAGATCAAGAGATTGCGGAACAAGGAGATTCCTTTGGTCAAAGTCGTTTGGAGCAGCCAAGGAGTCTCGGACATGACATGTGAGCCGGAACAAGAGATACGCGACCATTACCCACATCTCTTCGGTATGTATCTTCTCTCAACTCCCTTATTAGAATTCGAGACGAATTCATTTTAAGGGGGGTAGAATGTAATAACCCGTAAATTCGACTTTCAAATCGAATTTTAGAAAATCAAATATGAGCCATAAAAATGTCCCTAAAATATTGAATTAGACCCTAACCAAGTTGACCCGAAGGATTAGACCGAAACGAGCGAGAAAAACGGGCGGAAAGTTGGTCGGACCGTCCGGTCTGCCTAGCTAGACCGTCCGGTCTGAGGTCGCGGAATCGGATTCTCACGCGCCGCCACCTCCTACTTCGCCATGCAGCCGCCTCTCCCACCCTTGGCCACCTCCTGTTTCTTCTGGGACGCGAGAACTGCCCTAAGTTCGCCCATTTCGCAGTTCTTCGCCTCTCACTTCGCTCTCTCACTCCCCCACAAACTCTCTCAAATTCTGAATCTTCAATCCTTGATTGGAGCTTCGATTTCAGTCGAAATCAAACAAGGAACGCATAAATCAGCCCTACAGAACATCCCCAACGAAACCCCAAGCTCGAATTTCAGCTAAGTGAGTGTTTCGGATTATGCCCAAAAATGATAATCAAATTGAAAATGGAGATTTGCGTGGATTGAGTGCAAATTGCATGAAATTGATTGTAGATTTGAGTTCCTGATGTTACTAGGATCATTTTGGGGTATAGCGTGCTGAATTTGGTGCAAAAATGCGAAACTCGAAAATCTCTGGTTCGCCTAGACCGACCGGTCCAGGTCGGGATCGTCCGGTCTAGGGTTGCAGGTTCGCGAGGAAGAAGACGACCTCAGACCGTCCAGTCTAGGTCTCCAGACCGTCCGGTCTAGAACCCTCAGTCCGTTTGGACCAGAATCCACGGACCGTCCGAACCGAACCTTCAGTCCGTTCGGACCGGACTAGACAGTCCATCCGTTCCGGAACTCTATCTCCCCGTCTTGGCTCGTTTCTTCGGACCGTGCGGGATCCGATGCTACCGACCCCTATACGTGACCTACCCTGACCCATTCCTTACCCGTATTTCATGAAACTCGAATGAAACAACCTACGGTAAGTAAAACCTTCGGAACGAGTTGAATTGGTAATCTGAGATGGTCGGAACCCAATTTGATCGGATCGGAGGATAAAAGAATAGAATGAACGTAAAAGAATCGATATACCAGAAATGACAAGTAAGGACGTATGTATATATGATTAAAGTATAATGATATACGAGTGTATGTGATTGGGAAAATCGGGTAGTTGGCATGGCGTAAGACTTTATTCCGGAGGGCCGGGATAAGGTTGAGCGTGTGATTGCAGCGGGTTGATGTGATATTCCGATGATTTCATTGGCTGAGATCTCCTCTTTATGATCTCTGACCCGGGTCGGGTTTCATATTGAGGAGGCATGATTGTGATTGGTTTTCCACGGGCAGAGCTTAGAGCCGATGATACACGTGATAGTCTTGAGCGATTCGGCTATCACGGGGTTGAGGAAATCCTACGGTTACATTGTAACCGCGCCAACGTTCCACTAGCTATGGAGCGGGTTCGGGATTGAGTGATTCCCCCGACAGAGACTGGCAATACATTTACCCGTGACTCGGGATTGAGCGATTCTCCCGACGAGGTTATGCGAAGGAACTCAGAAAGACTTGAGCTCGGGTCCAATGAGTTTCTTCGTGGCGGACGGCCGGCGAGAGGTTGTCAGTTGTGTACTGGCTTCGCTCGACATAGTCGGTGGTGGCCTGGAGTAGGCACCTGGCGCTCTGGCATCGAGAAGTGACATCGATACCAGAGAGGATGATTGATGTGATATGTTTTACGAAGTGGGACACGGAGTTGATATGTTTTATTATTCCGGCGATGGCCGAGGAGAGCGGGGGATGTGCGTTGCACATGGAGCGTCCTTACCCACATGTGTGATGCACACATGGAGATGATTTGACGGGATTGATGATACTGATAGACCCGATGGGTCGAGCTTGGACTGGTATATTTGCCCTGATCTGGTGTCACCAGATCCTTGCTGTATCCTATGTGTGCGATGCACATAGAGATGATTTGACGGTTATGTCCGATGACTCGTCCTTCGGACTGAGTGTGTATGATAGTGATTACTTGTACCATTGAGTGAACCGTGTTTGATGGCATGTAGCGTGTATATATGTATACACCCATATTTACTGTGTGTATAATATTGGTTGTGTTTGGCCATTTGCAATTTGAGTATGATCTTCGGGTCTTACCCGAAGTACTCACTAAGCATGTAGCTTATGGACGTTGTTATGCAACGTTTCAGGCTCGGAGCAGTCTTGGCAACAGCAGAACGAGGGTACTGGTGACACGTGAGGAGTCCTCTGGATCATGTACTTTTCTTTTTTTGGACTTATGTTGGTTTGTACGGACGGTGACTATATTTTGTGTTATATTGGATTCGCCGTCTTTATGTTGGCGTGTATACTACCGTACGTGGGTTTGTTAAACATATATTGTTTTTTCGCTACATGTGTAATAAAGTAAAATGTTTTAAATTCCCGCTATAAACAGTACATCATAGAGCACTAAACCAACAGACGAAGCATCCTTTCAAGGGGAAAGGACAGAGAGCGACAGAGTTATTGGACTTGATACATAGTGATGTATGCAGACCAATGTGTTGGTTTAGTGCTCTATGATGTACTGTTATGCGAGCTTTACTTAGATACATTTGATGTATTGACACTTTCTATAGTTTATGGATGAGTGTTTGATTCATTACGTATTGTGCATGCTTTAATATGTTATGAAATCCATGTATTGTTATGAACAATACTAAACTCCCTAGTCATGTATCATTGTGGGAATAATGATATAACAAGACTAGTATGATGTGTGATTGATGATCATATAGATGATCATAGGTATTGGATACGATAGAACGGAATACTCGATGACCCGCATGAGATTGTCACATGGACTAGCGTCATGACTTGAATCTCATATGGCGGTTCCATGATTGGATCCTAAGACCTGAGATATCTAC